GACATGTACAACGGAACTGCCCTAACTATCCTAAGGAAGAGGATCCAAATGACCAAAGCCAGGGCGCTAGCTCACAAGATATCCTCTCCTTAACCAAGGAAATTGAGCAATGGACGGTCGTCTCCCACCATAAAAAATCAGGGAGAAAGGAAGGCGAGACATGAAGTCACAACTAGCAGAAACTAAGCCAAACCACTTCCAAAGAAAAAAACCATGATATTGAAAAAATGGAGGCAAGACATTGGGCACCAACAAACCATGGTAACAATAGTACAACATCCCCATCAATAAAACCAAAAGGTGACGAACAAGGACAAGGCCAACACAAAAATCGGATGGATATTACGAACCTCCCAGTTAAACCCAAACAATATCCGCCAGGCAAAGCACAAAACCAAAACATACTCATCACGTAAATCGGCGCACATTTATTGAATAACAAAGGTAACATAGCCAGTACCTCTCAAAGGGCTAGCACAACAAACACTAATAACCAAATGACCACTCTAGAACCAATGGATAAAGACCTAAGGAAAACAACGTTAGGTAACATAACTCAAAACCAACCAGACAAATAAATTGACAATATACCAAGACACATAAATGGTATTAAAGAGCCTAAAACCTTGCTCATTAATACCATCAAATGCCAAAACAAATTCGAAACTCTTATGTCCCAATCTAGTAATGAGACCCCCAACATCCAGAGTACCTCACATGTCCAATCACCCAAAACACAAACCATGGAGAAAATGGAGGTAGAACAAGACCTAATCGACAAAGCAGCCACAATAGTATTCAATGCTGAGGGGAATATCCACTCACCATTTAATGCAAATTCATTGGAAAATAAACCTAGTACACCCCAAACTCTGCAAAAAACTAATGATAAGACAACAAATCAACTCCTTATTAATGAGCAGGATTCGATAATGGAAGACCCTAAGATCTTCGACCCAACCCCACCTAAGACTACAAACTCTCATCACATTTTAAACAACATTAGCCCATGCATAAACCACAACACTATTCAACCAGGAAAATATAAGGAACCTAATAGCAAAAATTCCAAGACTCCCCACCAATAACTACCACAGGATATACTTCAAGGCAAGGAGAAATGTGTGGATAAGGGAGTAACAACAACCTCCCACTCCAACGCCAACTATTCCCCCCATACAACTGAACCAAAACCCCACCGTGTTTACAACCCCACCTCTCCCACCAAACCGTGTTCCCCAATCATGGATGGAATACTGACTCACAAGGCATGCACTAAGCATGAGCCTCCAACTCAATGGCCAAAACATAATTATACAAATAGAAAACCCGAGCTACTTGGCACAAATAATAACGGAGGGGCTCCGAATTGGAATGGACAACATTGTTACGAACTCATGGTTGGCCCTACCAGCCCAACAAATACCACTATATCCTCCCTCTCAACCAGCGGGCTCACACCCTTGTAACCACCAGACTGTGAACCCACACACCATCCTAAATACAATAAACATGAACCTACCCCTTTTTCACAACTCAAATCCGCCACCAACCCCAGCTCCATCATATTACAATGGGAATCCATTCCAAACTCAGATTCCACTCTCCAACATGCAGGGAAACCAAGCGTCAAATTACCCACAACATGCAATAACACAACAGGAAAATACACCAACAATGACTTCTCATCCGGCCTCTTTCAACAACAACAATGCTCAGACGGAGCACAACAACCAGAGCAACCCGCCACAACAACAGATGGTAGATGAGTAAGAAGAGGACGGAATATCAACAACAATAAGAGTGGAGTACGGAATGCTAAGAAACCCAAAAACACTGGCATTCAAAGAAAGAAAATAAAAAAGATTCATTTTGCGTTGCCCATAAGATTTGAAGAAATTCTCTTTGAACATTAGAATGATATTTGAACCAACCCTATTCAAATACGGTGTTGTGATGATCCCAACCATGTATGCTCACCATTGGGACAATGCTGCCCAACTAAGCCAGGAAGAAACCCCGAACCTATATAGCTCATCCCACAATCAGGGGGAGAGCTCACAAACCAGGAATAACTCCATGAGTATCATCATATGGAACTGCTGGGGGGCGGGTAACGCTGACTTTCGAAGGGCATTTAGGTCCATGCTGGATTATAATAGGCCAGTGTTGGTGGCCCTGTTGGAAACAAGAATAGAGGAGCACCACACGATTAGGAACGACTTTGGATTCGACAACCTAATACAAGTAACTGCACAAGGCAACTCGGGAGGTATCACAATTATGTGGAAAAATGAAGACATTATTGTTGACCAAATTGGCTCCACGTATCAGGAGGTTCACGCCATGATAAAGGTACCTAACAAACCTAATCCATGGCTTATTTCTACTATCTATGCTAGCAATCTATTAGAAGAAAGATTAATCCTATGAAAAAATTTAAAAATAGTAACAGATAATTTTAAAGGGCCTTGGCTTGTTACGGGCGACTTTAATGATGTTACTAGGGCTTCCGAAATATTTGGAGGATTGCCGGTTAATAATAATAGAATTACAGAATTCCTAAATTTCCTAGGCTATTGCAGGTTAATGGATTTAGGATTTAAAGGGTCAAAATTCACGTGGACGAACAAAAGAAAAAAGAGAAATGCCCTAATTATGGAGAGACTAGATAGATGTGTAGCTAACCCGGAATGGGTTAATATTTTTTAAGAAGCTCATGTTACACACCTCACGCGTACCCACTCAGACCACTGCCCTCTTAAACTAGATCTTACAAAATATTTTGCTAGAAGTGGGAGTATTTTCAGAATTGAGTCCACGTGGACCTCTCACCCTACGTTCAAGCCCTTGGTTAGGGAAACATGGAAAAATCAAGCGAACATTACCAACACCATTCAAAACTTCACTGAAAAAGTTACTGACTAGAATAGGAACATCTTCGGAAATATCTTTAAAAATAAGAAAAAAGTCATGGCTAGACTAGAGGATATTCAAAGATCGCCCAATTACCCCTATAGCCAGTTTCTTATAGACATAGAAATTAACCTAATGGAGGAATATAAGAATATTATTAAATTAGAAGAAGACTTCTGGAAGCTTAAATCCAGAGTTCAGTGACTTTAAGATGGAGACGCCAATACAAAATTCTTCCACGTTACTACAATGCATAGAAGAAGAAGAAAAAAAAATAGGATTCTAAGCCTTAAAGACGAGGCAGGAAATTGGTATTATAACCCCAAAGATATTACTGAATTGATAAATAAAAAAATTTCATGACCTTTACTCAACCAAGCAAGAGATGTCCTACAAAAAACATACATATATGTCCTACTACGCTACTATTCAAGAGTCACAATATTTTGATCTCAGCCTAACCCCTACAGAAAAAGATATTAAACTTGCCTTCAACTCCTTTAAACCCCTTAAAGCCCCAGGGCCGGATGGTTTGCATCCGTTCTTCTATCAAAAATATTGGAATGAGACGAAAAACTAACTCATTGACTTCGTCATAAGTACCTTTGAAAACAAGAAAATGTTGGATAATATGAACAATACTTACATTTGCCTTATCCCTAAATGCCAAAATGCTGAGACCATTAAGCAATATAGACACATAAGCCTTTGTATCATACAAGGTAGTCATCAAAATTATAGTAAATAGGATTAAACCCCTCTTACCCAATATCATTCACCCTGCACAAACTAGTTTTATTAAAGGAAGAAGAGTTTCGAATAATGCTATCATCGTGCAAGAAGTCTTAAATCATTTCAAAAAAATCAAGGGCAAAAAGGCCAAGATGATGGTTAAAATAGACCTAGAGAAAGCTTTTGATAAGATAGAGTGGTCCTTTGTGAGGTTCTCGCTAAATTCTCTAAATTTTCCTAATAATCTAATCGATATTATTATGTCATGCTACTTCAACTTCTATCTTAATTAATGGCTCGTGTTCAGATTTTTTCCTACCCTCTAGAGGATTTAGGCAAGGGGATCCCTTATCCCATACCTCTTTATTATCTGTATGGAAATGCTCTCTAGACTCATTAACCACGAAATAGACTGTTGTAAGTGGGATCACAAGAGGGGTTGCTCTCATGGTAAGCAACCTCCACTTCCAACCAAGAGGTTGTGAGTTTGAGTCACCCCAAGAGCAAGGTGGGGAGTTCTTAGAGGGAAGGATGCCGAGGGTCTATTGAAAACAGCCTCTCTACCTCATGGTAGGGGTAAGGTCTGCGTACACACTACCCTCCCCAGACCCCACTAGTGGGATTATACTGGGTATTAATGATGGAAGCCAACCAAAAAAACTGCAACTCCCTCATTGATACCCTGAACAAATTCTGCAGTTTATCGGGGCAGACTATTAATTTTAACAAGTCTAGAATCATGTTTTCCAACAACACCCCTCAAGATTTCAAAAACCACATTAGCTAGAGTCTGTCCATGAAACAAGCAACCACTTTGGTAAATGCCTTGGTTCCCAATGATAGACCATATAATAGCCAAAGGACTTTCAATTTATTATAGATAGGCTCAACACTAGATTACAAGGATGGAAAATAAATGTTTAATATATCTACCTTAATTAAAGCTACCCTAGCAGCCATATCCAATCATGTGATGCAAATTTAAGGTCTTCCCAAAGCCACTACCAACAAGATAGATGCTATACACCTAGCACTCTCCACTATCTTGGCTAATGGTACTATAAATTTGAACACCCTTTCCTTCGACCTGCCTACTAGCATAAAGCATAAAATTCACAGCACCTATATTAAGCAAGGGCTACCATCTAGGGATAAATCAAACTGGAACACCTTAAACCATAACTCATTCTCTACCAAAGCGGCTTATGAGCTCATCTCTTCTCCTCACGAGAATCAGGTAAACAATATAGACTTCGGATGGATCTGGAAAGTCCCTACGCTCAATAAGATTAAAGCTTTCCTATGGCTAGTAGTTCATAATAGGCTTAGGCTCCCCACCACTCTCATGCTCTTTAGAAGACACATTAGCGATACCTAGATGTGTAGCATCTGCTGCAAGGAGAAAGAGGATATCGAGCATATCTTCTTCAGATGTTGTACTCCAAGCATATCTGGGAGGGGATTAGCTTTAACCATAACTTTCAGCATTTACAAAATAATGCTTATAATATCTCCACGTGGCTGAAAAAACAGATTAAGCTATTTTTTAGAAGCTGAAAAAATTAATTTCTCTATGAACATATCACATCCTTGTTGATCCAATGGCCAAGAAATAACACTTTCTGATTTAAATGTTTCACGTAGACCACTCCCCGACCAGTGTACTCAGTTCCAAACCTCTCGAGAAAGATTCATTACATGGAGTTTTCTGGAAGAAAATGTAACATAGTTTGTTAAGGTTGTGCACCAAATGTTGATTCAATTGCTTCAATTTTCCTCTTTATACCATCTGCTTCATTGTTCAGTCAACCCCTTGAATGATATGCTTGCATTTTCTCCAGAAATATTGCCTACAAAATACATTAGTTTATGCAAGTCAATGTAATATCTGCTAGGAAGCCAAAGAGTTTAAAAAGTTTACTATATTGTGTGGACATTCTTTAAAGCGTTACAAAATGTTCAAGCTCTTATGCATGTAATTAATAAATACTATTTTAAAGTACACAATTATGATCAGAGATGAGACGTCAAACATAAAACTGTTAGAATCAAGTAGGAAGAAAAACTAGTCTAGCAAAAGATTTCTTACCAAAAATTTACCATCCTCATAGTATTAGCACAAACTTGCTTGTGAAAACTCCATACAATCACACTAAGCTAAGATATCGAATTCGTATTATGGCACTATAGGCAAATTCCAGAAATTTATATCCAATGTTGTGTAATATACGCGAACACTTTTACACAGAAAAATAAGAAAATATGAAAAAGGAAAAAGACATAAAAAGAAAGAAAAAGATATGGTGAAGGGTAACAATTAGGAAAAAGGAAAAAGACCATAGGTATACTTTCAAAATTAGAAGGGACTGGCTCTCCCTATACACAACTTTCTTGAGCAAGTTGAGGTCGGCAAATAAATCTTCACTGTCCATGCCGTTCTATTTAAGCTCATCTCAGCCATAAAAGAAAAAGGATTAAGAGGACGAGAATTATGTCATGAAAATAAAGTTTAATGACTTCAAAAGAAATATGGAGTATGTTCCTTTGTCTTTTTGGGGCCAGATTAGAGAAGCCTAAAAGAATTCGGGCCAGCGAAAAGTTAAAATTATCCATTCGGAAGACATGGAGGATGGTGTCAACTTGCATTTGTTGGAGTCAGTGGCGAAGTCAGAAATTTTTCCAAGAGTGTTCAGACTTGAAAGAAGTAAAAATATTCCTCGACAAAGAGTGTTCTATAATATGTTATATACGTCCAAAATTTACTATTTTACTTAAATACACATTATAAATTTTCATAATATTTCGATGAATTGACCACCCTTAGCAAAAGATGGCTTCGCCCCTGGTTGGAGTGTATAAACTGAAAGAAATCGCAAATGCTTTAATGGAGTATTAACTCCCACACATGCGCTAAAAACTAGATGCATTATAAACCTTTTTTGCTAGTGTAGGCTTCATAGTATAAATAACTCAACTTTTTGACGTTGTTAGCTCTTTATAATACATATAGGACATCATTGTAGAGGAGCTCACTGAATTTTTCTTCACTTCTATAATGTTCAGCATTTTCTTGAAGCATTTTTAATGAAACTTCATTTACTTGATAAAAAAGGAGGAAAAAAGAACATTAATGACTTAGGTTTGAAGTTGAATTAAGCTAAAAGCATGTTTAGAGTGCCTATAAATGATTGTCTAAACAGAGTTATAGTATCTGTGTATATCAGATGATCGAAAAAATATGTAAGAGGCAGCTTAAATGAGAAAACTTACGACGAAATTGCCATATTGGTTTTTCTCCATTAGTAACAACCTCAAACACGATGTGATCTCCCTCCTTTAAGCAATTTGTATCACGGAATTCATGCCATCCGCCTTTAATACATACACCAGTACCAAAAGAACGTAACCTTAAACTCCACGACCTTTGCCTTTCATCTCTAATAATCAAATCGCATTTCTTGTTAATGAGACCATTTGCATGTGCAAATTGTCTTGGAATGCACTGAAATTTTTCATACCATTTGTACATATTATCAAAACAATTATTAAGCTCTTCATATTTTCACCAAAAATAATACCAAAACAAATAGAAAAGAAGAAAATGCTACACACGATTACTTTAGCCTAAGCAAAGACTTACCAAGAGATCATTTGAAAGGCAATAAGGTCTAATAGTGCATACAAAATGGGGAAATGCCTTACTTGATGAATTGATGCTGGGGTTTGGTTTGCCTGTTACATGGTTAAACCATGTCAATAAACTAAATATTACAAAGAGATCACAAATTGTAATATGAATAGCATCTAAATATCCATCCTATCTTTGGCTATATTTTTCAATTTTCAAAGTAGGGCAAAAAAGGGCAGTCCGGTGCACGAAGCATCACGCGTTTACGCAGGATCCGGAGAAGGCCGCACCACAATGGGGTGTGATTTAGGCAGTCTACCCTGATGCAAGCATCAGTGCTGATTCTACGGCTCGAAGAAACAACTTTACCGTTGCTCCAGGGTTCCCCTTCAATTTCCAAAGTAGACCTTACTTGAAATTTCTTCTAACTTCCAAATAATAAGGAAATTACTAATATCAAACTGACTAGATTCTAGAACATGCAAAAAAAAAAAAAGAATTATATTTGTGTTAACTGTGTTATGCTATCAATGCATACATTACTACGACATATACAAAATACCACCCTCCCTCAACTTATACAAGAAATAAAGAAATTCAAAAGCAAGCAAATTAGAATTTTTTTGGTGTATATAACAAAGTATAAAGATGGTTGAGGTTGCTTAAATCAGAAACATACCATGAAATTTCCACACTGGTTGTTCTCCATTACTAACAACCTCAAACATTATATAATTTCCCACCTTTATGTCATTTGCAGCACGGAATTCACCCCATCTACCTCCCATATAGACTTGGGAACCGTAGGTAGTTAGCCTTAAATCCCATGACCTTTGTCTTTCATCTCTGATAATCAAACCGCATTTCTTGTTAGCGAGACCATTCGCCCATGCAAATTGTTTAGGAAGGCGCTGAAAAGGTTTATAACCATTTGCATATATCATCAAACAATCATATGCTTCATATTTTTTTATGTATGTAAATAACTCCAATAAACAAAGAGGGGAAAAACAGAAAATGGTGCACATGTTTCCTTTAGCCTGAAGATTCTTGAAGGGTTAGGGGGGAATGAGTTTGAGACTTACCAAAAAACCATTTGTAACGCAATATGGTTTAACAGTGCATATAAAATATGACTGACCAAAAGGATTGTGAAGAGCAGCTGCAGCATCTGCATGGGGAAAAGCCTTGCATTGTTATTTTTAGACAAATCCATATCAAGATTTTAGATGACAAAATGATTTACAATAAAACATGAATAGCTAGCATCTAAATATCCACCCCATCTTTTGGCTAACTTTTCAATAACGAACAGCCCGGTGCACAAGGTATCCCGCGTTCACGCAGGGTCCGGAGAAGGGCTTGGCTAACTTTTCAATAACGAAAAGCCCGGTGCACAAGATATCTCACGTTCACGCAGGGTCCGGAAAAGGGCTTGGCTAACTTTTCAATAACGAACAGCCCAGTGCACTAGGTATCCCGCGTTCACTCGGTGTCCGGAGAAGGGCTGCACCCCAAGGGATGTGATATAGACAGTCTACCATAATGTAAGCATTAGTGGCTGCTCACACGGCTCGCATCCGTGACCTATAAACATTAGTGGCTGGTCACAGTGTCACACGGAGACAACTTTTGGCTAACTTTTCATTATAAATTAAAACATATGATAATTAAGTTAAGGGAATTAACTTGCAAATACATCAAGAACAATTAATGGACTATAAAGATCTTAATTACCTTTAAATTCAAAATTCTTGGAAGTCTCTTCCACAGTATGGACTTCTCCTTCTTCAAGATACTCTGCATATTCTCTCTCACAGTGATTAGAACCAAATATAGAAACATCAAACTCCATATTACCTTCATGTCTAAACACCAACATATCTCCCAATTGCAAATCATGCTCTTCTGCAAACTCTGCCCAACCAGCTTCGAATCGACGGCCGGTCAGCTTCACCAGCCACTTCTTACCATCCCTTTTTAGTACTGCATGTTCAATATGGTCGTATCCCTTCAGATATTTCAAGAAACCTATAGGTATTTTCTGCAATACAACATAAACTTAGGGTAGCGCTGTTTCAAATCATTATGCTGGTTTGTTTAGGACATGAAATTGTGACATCTACTTAGTTAAACAATTACAAAATGATCATATGCACATGCACTACGGTTATGATTTTGAGTGTTTTCCTTTTCTGGGATAAATTCTTCCACCATATAGTGAAGCGGACACAGGATTTAAAGGTCGAGGTGTACTTTTGGATTTAACCAAAATCTGTTTTGTATACAAGGTGCTCACTACTAATATCACTATTTTCTAAAGACATATACATGTATACATGGAATGACCAGGTCCTCCTCTGCATATACACAAAGGATTACTAATAGACAAAGGAATTATAAATAACTAAAAGGATTACTTACAAGATCATGCTTGAAACCTGGCAGCATAGGTTTGAAAAAATGAGGTTTCTTTGGAGGAATTTTCATGGCAAACAAAAAAATTGTACTTTTATGTGGTTCTGTTTTTGCAATTGATATAATGTGCAGTTGAAACTTGAAACTTGACTTCAGTTCAGGATTGCAACAATTTGGTAATTGAAACTTGAAAGGTGTTACAGAATGTTCATGCCCACATTCTTATGTAACTGTGGTTCTGCTTTTCAAGTTAGTGGGCTATGTAAACCAGTAACATTAAACCATGTAGCACTAATAGAGCACAGACGGAACCAGAATATACAAAATTATATTTAAAATCTAGTTACTAATACCTTAGAAGCCATAAATTTCAAAGTCTGACTTCCGCCAGTCGGCCGCTAAGAGGGGGCATATGCAATATGGCATATAAATGGTGAAAAGAGAATGAAAGAGTGAAAAAGACATAATTGTGCACTTTCAACAAATACGAGGTTTTCCAGAATCCTAAAGAAATGGTTGAACAGAAATGGTCGGATTAGGTGTAAGCTCACTGACATTCAGAGAGAATAACACAGTCATTGGGACAAAGAAAAGAAACAATGGAAAAGGGACAAAATATTTACAGCTTATAGGCGTGGGCAGTGGCGAGTTTATCATAAAAGAGGGATCGTCAGGCTTTATCCAATTATTCAATTTCCAAAGGGAATCCAAGAGAGGCAGTAAAATCAGTTTATTTTGTGTTTTTTTTAAAAGTATTTTTGATAAATTAATTTAAAAATTCTTTTAAATAATAATTAATATTTGATCAAATATTTAAAAAGTATTTTTAATTATAACTTTCTCAAAAATATTTTTCAAAAAAGTAATTTTTAGGAGAAATTATATTTTTCTGTTTCTACTCAAAAATATTTTTTTTCTTTCTAAAAGCTAGCAAAACACATAGTTTGACAAAAAAAAAATATTTTTGGCCAAACAAAAACTTAACCAAATAGATTAATAAAATATTTCTTTAAAAACATATATCTCGAATTCCAACTCTGAGTTTAATGGAACTTCACTGAGAGTACCGCACATGCGCACATCAAATTAGAACGCAAAGAAATGATGGAAAAAGAGCGACGCAGTAGTGCAAATTGGTGACGTATGAAGTGTGGACTAACAGCCCCACATTTATATTATGAAACAATCTCAGAAAAACTAAACAACTTTCAAAAAGCGCCCGCATTAACCTTCTGAAATCTGTCGGAATCGAACAAAAACTGATCGATTTCCGACCATTTTCAATTCGTCGAAAAAAGAATGGTCGCAATTGAGGAGCAACCGCAGTCCGTCGATATTTCCGACTGAAGTCGATCGATATTTTCGACCGAAGTCGGTCGGTAATTGTCAACGCACTTTGACCAAGTTATCTGACACAAAATAATCTTACCGACCGAATTCGGACGGTATTTTTAAAAATTAGCGACCGGCGTCGATCGAAATTTTAATTATTTATTTTTTAAAAAAATGTTCAATCCCGACCGATTTCGGTCGGAATTATTAAAATATTTAAATTTTAAAATAAAAAATTCCGACCGAAGTCCGTCGGTATTATTAAAATATTTAATATTTAAAATCAAAAATTCTGACCGAAGTCGGTCGGTAAATTTAAATTTATGGAAAATCAAATGAACATTTCCGACCGACTTCGGTCGGTAGGCGGTCGGTTTTCTAGGTATTGTTTTGGCAAAATACAGTTGTTTTATAGTTGCACCACCTGCCAACAACCAATCACCTATAATGGCAGCATTACATTGCTGTCATTCAACCAATAACAACAATAACAACAATAACAACAATAGCAACAATAATAACAACTATCAAAACTATATTATTAACAAAACACCATCTCCATCTCTACTAAACTATATTAACAAAATATCATACCCAACAACAAAACGTTTCACAAGTTAAATGTCCAAACATCATTCAATAAGTGTTTTATACTACATCATCTCTATCTCCTCTACTAGAACCTTCATCGTCGGCATGGTACGAAGGATCACGACGAGAAGGAGACACATCTGGGGAAGGCTCACGAGACTGGGGAATGGGGAAAGCACCACTAGCAAGAAGATTCGCCAACTGACCTTGAAGGACATTAAATTATTGGTCCCTCTTTTCTAGCTGAACTTGAAGGGTATCAAATTGTTTATCTCTCTTTTGTTCTCTAGCCTTTGTCTCTTCAAGCTCCGTTGTCAGCTTTGCGATCTTCTTCTCCATAGACGAGAGAGTCGACCTATCAATTGCCTCGCCCTGGGTAGAAGTCCCTATACCTTGCAATCCAGCCATCCTGCCAAGATTTAGTATAATGCTTAAATAGATAAGAATTGTATTAAAACCTTGAATTGTTGAAAATTTGCTCCACGAGCTCCGATGAAAATTCACTCCAAGTCGCATAGGGTGCATCATACAATTGGCCAAGAGTTTCAGTGATTATCTTTGTAGTATGATGACTAAGTATAAACCTGCAACATAGCAATTACATTAAATAAACAAGACTAGCTATTATATTTCAGCAAAAACAAAGAAGTAATAAATAAATCTTACCCATTTCCCTCAGGCCTGATGATCATCCTATGATAATGATCATACCACTCTTTCTCTGGATCATCATCCTCCGATGAATCTGAAGCGTGCGTAGAAGGGGAGGCATCTGGCTCAGCGCTACTATCCTGAAGGCGAAGTCTAGAAATGCTAGGAGAAGAACTCGGAAGAGAGGGAGACAGGGTCGCTGATGAAGATGGATGCAATCTAGATTCTAGACCCCTACTGTGATCTAGACCCCTATTGTGATACAGACCATTACTGCGATCTGGGTGGCTAAAATCTAGATGGATGCGATCCAGCTGGTGGTGAAGCAAATGGATCAGATGACGGGCGTATCACTACATAGCCCTGTGGCTGTTGACTCGATGAGCCCATGTAACTATATGCAGGATCATGTAGAGGAAGTGAGATATTGCCCTGTGGTGGAGAATAGTAGAATACTGCTGGGAGGGTGAATGGTAGGTAATCTGATAAGTAGATGGATGTGATGGAAAAGATATGTGCCTAGAAGATTGTTGCCGGCCATCAGCAACGGAGGGGTGCAAGTGTGAAGTGGAAGGAAGCGAGATCATCATGATCAATAGGCCTCTTATCCTTACTAGACCTACCTAGAACCCTACCGGTCATCTGCACAAATTAAAAAAAATGCTAGAATTGAGAATATAAATCAATATAAGTTGAGATCGCTTGAAAAAACTAACATGCTAGTCTTCGAAGTATCCTTCCTAATCCAAAAAATCTTCCTCTTCACTTATTTCATTTTCATCAGCTGATTCTTCGTCCTCATTTTCTATGATTGTTATTTCCTCCATATCAACTTCTTTTAATATCCGTTGAGGATGCTCAAAGTCATTTTCTAACTGATCATCCACTATTTGGTTAACACTTGAGGTATCGTTTTGGTAAGCAACATCTAGCACATTCTCAACTTCCACCCTACCAACATGCTTAGTTTTGATTACAACCAACCAATCAGCCTTATCCCTTCGCAATAGATATGGAGCATAATACACCTGCCTAATATTTTCTGCAATTATAAAGGGATCATAGCAATCATTCTCCCTCTTTTTATTAACCCCAACTATGTTGTACTGCGAGTGTATATTTGTACCTCTTCTAGGTGTTGGGTCAAACCACTTGCATAGGAAAAGTATGATCTTCTTATTTGGCCAACCTGAATATGATAATTCTACAATCTCTTTGATCACACCATAATAATTATTTTCCCCATCCTGGTTGCCTTCACCACCTTTGACACATCCCCCACTGCTATTGTTTTTTTTATACTTGGAGCATTCCTTGGTGTGAAATTTGTAACCATTCACAAAATACTTAGACATAGTTGTAACCGTAGGTGCAAATCCCCAACATATATCTTTTAAAATTGATTAACACCGTTGTTTGGATTATTGACCTACATGTAGTGTTAAATAAATCACAAGTGAGCAAGTATATTCACAAGTGACCAAGTATGTATATTCACATGTGAGAAAGTATGTAAGATGCACTTACACACTGTTTAAACCATGCCTCAAATGTAGAATATACAGCATCATGGCCAAATTGACTCATGAAGTCACTGAACGACACATTGAAAATTTTGTTAGTTGCATCAACCGAATTAAATAGTAGTCCATGTAAATTAATCTTATGTCAACACTTACTTAAGAAAGGGTTGAACTTCCAGACAATTTAGCAACACATGATTTGAAGCTGATTTGTACTCCATACTACTTAGGCCCCTTTTTGATCGATCTTTAGAACCTCGACCTAGTTGATTGGATATGGACATTGGTGGATATAATGGATCATTCTCAATTACGACATTGTACCGATTGACCCTAATTCTAGCACATGGCACATGACTGTCGAAGTAGTAAGAACAAAAATGGGCAGTTTCCTTTGCAAGATAGGCTTCGCATATGGATCCTTCTATCCTATTCCTCTGTTTAACAAATCATTTATACTTGACGATAGTCCTGCACATTGTCATATTAGGCGATAAAGTTAAAGAAAATTACAAGAATGAATCAAGATTTGATCATTACCTGTCGAATGGATACATCCACTTGCATTGAACTGGCCCTCCAAGTCGCACCTCGTGTACAAGGTGTTCCGTTACATCAAAGAAACCACATGAAAAAATCCTTTCTAGCTTATTATTGATTACAAGAATGTTTCGATTCATTTGAAATAGGTTTTGTCCCCTTAATGTGGTAGACCATAAGTATTTTAAGAACAAACTTATCTCTGTGATGGTTTTCCAGATATTTTCAGGCAAACCACAAAATGCAATAGGGATTAAGGTTTTCATGAAGATATATGACAGTCATGACTTTTCATATGAGTCATCTTTCCTTCAACCATATCAGCATGTTTTCCTAGGTTCGAAGCATAGCCCTCGGGCATCTTTAGGTTTGTAACCCACTTACAAATATGTTGTCTTTATTCCAAAGTGAATGTGTAGCTGGCCTTGGGCTTGAACACCTTACCATTGTTCGCAGGCTGCAGATGTAATTCAGGTCACCTGCAATATTCTTGTAAGTCCAGTATAGCCTTCGGGTTATCTTTTGTCTTATTCTTATCATCCATCACCGTGTTGAACAAATTGTCAAAATAGTTTTTCTCAATATGCATGACATCAAGATTGTGTCGGAGAAGATTATTCTTCCAATATGGCAACTCCCAAAATATGCTATGTTTTGTCCAGTTATGAGTAACACCTTATCCGGGAAATCTAGAAGGT